TCTATATATATATATATATATATATATATATAGATAGATTTGAAACTTTAAAATATTGTAATTTTAATGCTGCAGTTTAACAGAATTTTAGATTCAGCTGTATTAAGCTAAGTTTTAGGATACCCTTAAAACATTGGTATTTACCAATAGGAAATTGTTCACACTACATCATATAAATTCAGAGAAAAATAGCTTCGTATTTGCAAGAAATCATGCAATAGTCTACTTCAAGTGAAAAACTTCAACACATTACAGATGGTAATTACATGTGCAGATGCTCAAACATAAATAACAAATATTTCAAGACTTGTCTTTTTGTTTAGATTTAGTAGAAAATATATTGATAGCACAACTTTCAAATGCTGATAAAAATTTACTTCAATATGAAAACATGCATACATTGTAGATAGGAAAGTAGTAAAATCAAACAGATGTGATTCACTGAAACAAGTCACCTAAACTCCTAACATTCGTTGTTAAAGGCACATGAAAAATATTCAGAAGTTTTGCAATCAATAATTACACTTGACAGGTGTTTTATCATCGTTATTTTGAATGAATTTTATTTACAATCTACCTTTAACTGAAAATAGTTATGCTGTAAAGAAAGGTAGATTTTGACCTCGAAGTTCCGAAACACATTAGCAAACCAAGGTTCAAACTTCAACAGTACTAATTTGCATGACTTACTGATGACATTTACATAACTATTAGTTGATAGTTGATTGAAAATCCTTTTATTTTACCAGTAATCCATATAAGTCAAGTAAAACATTCATATGTGTTTTCAAAGCTAACATTTTCCTAAATTGAAAATGTATTTCAAATAATACTTAGTTCCACTGACACTTAAAGCTATTACTCGAACACCAGGGTTTCTTCTTTGCCCATCTAAACATTAGTCTTCTATATCCCACTCAATTGCCTTTAGCGATAATTGTCTTGTGATACTTTCCATCTTGGTACTGTATGTAAGCACCTCATTCAAATAATTTTATCACTTTCAAGACTGATACCATCCCAGTCTCTAACACCAGCTCTTAATGGGTAGGAAGGGTGGGAGAGTGTCAGCAGAGGTAAGTATTATTGGAAATACATTTTCAACTTAGGGAAATGTTAACTTCCAAAAGATACTTACCTCCGATGCCAATTATACTCAGAATTCTACATTGAGAAGGTGGAGGGGCCAATGAAGGCATTATCCACACAGAAGGCATCTGCATAGATCATAGGTGTACCAAGATAAGAGTAGTACTCGAATGGGGGTACCACACTACATCCAGAACAGGTATGCTCTTGACTCTGAACTTAGTTCCTGTATCAAGGATGGAATTGTACATGAGCGATCATCACTATAGGCCAGACATAACCAGATAGCTGAGGTTTCACTACTTGGGGTTGGAATTATGGAGCCATGGTCCCTATTCCCAATGTTCATTGCTAGGGCAATTGGACTGCAATGTAATATATATATATATATATATATATATATATAGATATTACTTTTGATTAGATCCTAACCTGTAGCCATAGAATGATGCATTCCAAACCACCTGATTCACGACGAGAAAGTAAGCAACACCAAAGTGGACAAACCTGAAGAAGCCCGAAAGGCAACACCACAGGCTCAGGATTGTGTATGGCTTACTCAACCAAAGGAACAGAACTCATCAGGTCTGGAATTAAAAACATTCATCCTCACTCCCCAACCAAGTAATCAAAGGAGCCCTCCACTTGCCTCTGGAATTATGGGGAGGATGTGGAACAACTGTGCTCAACCAAGGACCTAGGATGGGACCACTCCATGTTCAGAATTATGAGGAGATAGTGAACCTCCTTTCATGAACAATATACCAAACCAATATTGATTAAAAAAAGGGGCCATGCACACCCCAAACAGATAGCTGAGCATCAAATCTGAACTGGTATTATGAGTAGGTTCCTGCGTAAGCTGGCACCGTTCTTACGTACATCTGAAAAAAAAAAAACATCCAGGGACCCAGGTAGGAGGGGGTCCCCAACTTCACTCTCTTATCCAAGAGTGAAGGAATTCACTCTAACACTCTAGAAGAAAACCATCTGTCCATCACCCCAATAGCTAGAAACTGGGTGTGGTAAGGACTCCCTAGCTCCACTAGTAGAATCTCGGGGGGGGGGGGGTAATGCATGTTGGGGAGTCCTGAGGAACAGTGCAATAGGTGAACTAAGTTCCCTAAATTTTTGAAGCAAACTGACCCCGATTTGCATATACGCTTTACTGGCACTTGTGTTTAAAATTATAAAAATAATTAAAAACAACGTTTTATATTCACACAAAAACTTTATTGAAGCCATATGGCTTCCACTTCAAAATATCACTCTACACATACATGTTTCGACGTGATCTACGTCACCCTCAGGAGTAACTTACAAAACTATTTTATACTTTCCCCTTTGTTGCATTACTTCATTGTTATTTGCATATTTCTTTAGTGTAATTGAGAAATTAGTATTGTATGTTGAGTAGTTTTTACATGTTCGGCAATAGCTGACATTTCTATTTTATTATTTCTTATGTAACTTTTGTGTTCT